CTATCAACCAAAAGAGACATTTTCAGGGCTTTGAATTTAAACCAGTCCTCATCCTTCATCATGGAACACAGTCCAGAAAGGCCCAATGTGCAATTCAGTGTGCGTTATTTGGATAAAAACCTGCCTGTTTCTTCAATATTTAGCACTTTAATAGATGAGCTTAGAAGTAAAAACGTGTCCTGTGAAAGAACAATGATTTTCTGCCAAACTCGCAAGCAGTGCGCTTTGGTGTACTCAGCATTTAAAGAAAGCCTTGGAGTTGATTTTTATGTTAATAAACACGTTGACAGTAAGAAGAGAATGGTGGAAATGTTTCATGCTGGAACACCCGAGGCTGTGAAAAAGCACATTCTTTGTAACATGTCTCAACCCAATGGCCACATTCGAATAGTAGCCTGTACTGTTGCGTTTGGAATGGGGGTTGATTGCAAAGAAGTTCACCGTGTCATACATTTTGGCCCTTCTAAAAACCTTGAATGTTATGTCCAAGAATGTGGAAGGGCTGGTAGAGATGGACAGCCAAGCTCATGCCTTTTGCTGCACAATGGGCTACTTGGTGCACATTGCATGCATGACATCAAGGATTTTGTTGCTAATAGTACTGACTGTAGGCGTACTTATCTATACAGTCATTTTCCAGGGAAATTTACTTCTTCTGTGTCAGGTCACCAGTGCTGTGACATATGTGCTAAAGCATGTGGATGTCAACAAGAAATTTGCGGGGAACCTGCTATACTAGTTCTGGATGCTACCGAAGATGAAAACCTTTCTTCTGAATCTGTTCGTCCAGTTGAAGAAAATGACAAGGTACACCTCAGGACTGAACTGTTCAACTACATGAAAAACCTGCTTCTTCAAAATTCTTCAGGGGCTGTGGCTTCTGTAAATATGATGCATGAATTCACCCCACTGCAAATCAAGCAAGTTCTGGATAATTGTGACAAAATTAAGACACTACAACATGTAGAAACTTTTGTTGAAGTTTGGAGAAGAGAACACAGCCGAGCAATTTTAAGTGCAATTCACCAGGTCTTTGGTGATGTGCACAGCAGCGAATTGGAGGCACCAGAGAGTGAAGACGAGGACATAGAGGAATTTGCACAAGAATGGGCAGACATCAGAGATGACTCTGAACTGTGTCAGCTGTTGAGTGAAAGTGACTTGCTTAATGTAGATGTTCATATGGAAGACATTGATCAGTCAGGTAATGAGGAAGTAAACATGAGCAGTGTGATTGCCAATCTTTTTAAACAGTAGATAATTGTAAACATCATTAGAGACCAAAGGGCACCTAATTGCCAATTTTTTTTTTTAAGTTTTAAAAGTCATGTCTGCTTCAAATGTTAGTGACTGCCCTGAGTAATTGCAAAAGTACAATCCAATTCATGTTATCTTTGAAACAATAACATCCCATGCTAGTGTTGCCTCTGAGTCTCTGAGGATGAATGGCAATTGCCTCATTAACTTAGACTAACTTTGGGATGGTTAAGTCCTTGCTAACATCTGTCCATGAAATTTTCATCTTCACCTGATTGGTTTTAGAAGCTTTTCCTGTACAATTACATTTATAAATGTAATAAATTATCATCTTTCGTGTACCTTGTAAGTGGCGGAGGCAAAATGTCTTCAATATTTCGTGGTCATGTCGCTTAATAGAAATGCTAAGAAGCCAATCTATAAAGCTTCATAGGCATCTTTCAGTTATTTGTAAAAAGCCAAAATTTTAAGTAAGAGTTTCATTTATACATACGTTGAAAAAATAACTTTCATCAAGTGATTATTTTCTGTGAAGCAGGTCTTCTGTTGTGGTTCCTACTCATTTAGATTAATTAAGGGGCCGACCATTTAACTCTTGAGGGTGGGGGTGGGTGATTTCTGGACATCAAGAATTTTTTTCTAGCAATATGGTGGGCAGGATATGTTTTTCCCTTTTTTTCCCATAAGCTCTCCATTACATTTGTGCTGCATGCAATTTTTTTCTTCCGACAAGCGCTTGCAGGAAATTTTTTTTCAAAATCACCCACCGCCCCCCCTCCCTCCTCAAGAGTTAAATGGTCGGCCCCTAAGGTGATGTCAGTGAAATAAAAAGCCCTCTTTATTAAAACCCTTATCACAGTTCTTGGAAAATACTAAGAAAAGTTAAGAAAAATAAACAGGAAACAATCACATGGAACTTAGAAATTGATCTGAGGTTGCAATGAGGGATTTCATTTGTGTACAATTTACTATAAATGCTGGTGTGAAACTTTTCATCACCATCTATCTGACCAGTTTCAGTACTTTTTCGATCAAATGTGTCCAAATTTGATCTGTAATTTCACTCTTGAAGGTTACATATGAATTTAAATACTGGATTGACCTTTCTGTCTTAAAACATCATTCTAGCGTGCTCTTCTTTCTCTGACAATGTTTTTCTTGTGTTTGGTTATCCACCTGAACATGTCTTGAAGATCAAAGTCTGACAGGAGGGTGGAATTAATACCATTAAAGTGCGCATAGGTACGCCCTGGTGTCCAACAGAAAGCCCTCTGAGTGATGAGCTCTGTAACAATCTTGCGTAAGTCAGACACCACAGAGAGTTCATAGTGGTGTCCAGAACGGCGGATGACACAACACTCTTGATCAAAGTTGTCAAGTAATGCTTTAGTGAAATCAATTGCGTGACAGTAGCGATCTATAGCCTTGTGATTGGTTGCATTAGGACCCAACTTTTTCCTGACTTCTTTCAGTAGTCGATTGAAAAACTCAAGGAGTAAATCAAGGGGAATGTTATGTCCCAAACCTGACTTAAGCAATGCAGTTCTGTTCCAAACAAGTTCATGGGCATGTTTTGGTGGAAGCAGTGCATAAACTTGAAAAATCATCCCCAGGGCTTCAAGGGCATACTTTGTACTTCCCGGGTCATTCCTAAGGTAAGGCAATTGAAACTTCCAGCATCTGAAAGTACGTTTACCATCACCCTCTTTGATGGCATCAAAGAAATTCAAAATTAGCATGCCATACTCGAGGAAAGAACACTGATAATTGAACATGTCATCCTTCTCAGGGACTTTCTCTGAAGGGGCTGAGTCACTTGGGAAGAGTAACCCTTGTGAATCTTGAGGTGGGACTTGTTGGTTATGGGTGGCTTCATGATCACGCATTCGTTTCCCCCTTGATGCAAAGCTTTTGCCACAACCGGGAAAAAAACAAATGTATCTGCCATTGTCTGTTTGTTGCCTGACCTCTTCTTCCTCAGCAGCTTCTGCTGCTACTAGGCTATTGAAAATGTTTTCAACATTTTCCCTTCGAATGACATAGCCATCTACAATGTGTGTGGCAATTTTACGCACATATTCCTTTTTCTCCACGTTACTCGCTTCAGGGAGGTTTGGTTGGGAAAATTCACCCTTAGGGCTATCCAAGATATTATTCATCCCAAGCTCATGTAATGCAGCAGCTATAAGCCTTGCTTTAACTTCGAGGTCGAAAAATTTTCTACAGGGGTTAACTGCCGCATCAACATCACTGCTGACATTCCTTCTGTTTATTAAATTTCTGTCGCTGTAGAGAGTGCATTTGTCTCCTGCTGATTTTGTGTTGTAGAAATTATGGAATGCAACCTAAAAACAGATACATACAAACATTGAACTATTTTTTTTACATGATTAGAAGACTATGCAAGTGAATGAATGTGCATTATATTTATTATTATCATTATCATCATTACCATTACCATCACCATTATCATCATCATCATCATCATTATTATTATTATTATTATTGTTGGTGTCATTATTATCATCATCATCATCATTATTTGAATTACATTTACTTGTTTATGCAAGTGAATGAATGTGCAATATATTTGATATCATTGTTATTATTATCATTAGTTTTATTATTTCAATAAAGATATTTACAATATATTTAGTTTCACCCATCAACTGATGCATTTCCTTTCACAGTGAGAGAGATGTCATACCTTATTGACTGACTTTTTTTATCTCAAATAAAACAATTATCATTTAACTGTGTGAAATCAGACCATACCGTTTTTACAGTGTAATTATGCAACTAATTTCCTGATATTTATCTCACAAGCTATCTTGCATTGGTGTTGTTCACTGAATATACTCTAATGAGTATGAACCCATTGGCAAAGCTACATATAATGTATATGACTCATAAACTATGGCTTGAAAGAAACACTAAATATTTTCATACCTTCAAAAACTTATTTCCTGCGTGCCAGTCAGCAATTTCCAAGTGCAAACCCTCTAGACATTCCTCTGGAGTAAAGCCATTTGAGAGCTCAAAGAGTGCATTCACGCCACGCTCCACTGACAGTTGATCAGCCACTAAACCTTGGGAGGAATAAACTCTGTCATCTCCATCACCATAGTAGGATACATACTGATGCAGTGCTGTCAGTACTTGCTGAATACCATCTGAGTCATTTTCGTTGTGATACAACATTCCAAGAAAAGACTGCAAAGGGCAAACACATAATCCTGGTTATTTTCTCAATGGGTTAAGTGGTTTTTGGTGGTAACAGAGAAGGGTCGGGGCAAAAAAAAAAACTGGTGGGGGGGCAAATTATACAATATCTCACTACTGCAAATTTTCAAACTCCAACCTTTACTGTTACTGGAACATGAGAACAACAAGACTTCAAAACAAGGAAATAAAAATCATTTTTCCCATCTCTCCTTTTTCTGACTGTTCTTTGACTTTGTGACTTTGATGGACCTGAATTAATTTTTTTTTGTTCAAAAGTAGGCTGTAAGTCATTTTAAATAAATTGTACTATGTAATACCATTTCTGATTTCTCAGCCATTTCCTTGCTGTACTGGTGTGGTATGTGCTTACAGACCACAGGCTTGAGACATTCCAAACAGGGTATTTCCACAATTGCTCTCTCAGTGAGAGTTATGTAGTTTTCCCTTTGCAGGTGGTGCTCATGGCGAGTTGGTAAACACACACCATTCTCCATCTGCATAACAGCATCTGCAGCAGGCTTTGCACTTGACAAGTGGTTTCCTGAGACACGATTTTCCACTGACAAGTGTGTAACCCAGTGGACATCTATATTTTGATGCTGTTCAGTCATACTGTGAACTTGCTGCTTGAAGTCGAAGTTATCGAACACCAACTTTCTTCCTTTGTCAGCAGTAATTACAGTTGACTGTTGAGACTGTCTTTCAGTCACTAGAGGAGGGGAACTGGCGCCAGATGGTGTCTCAGTCAGTGCTTGGTGATGTTTCTGAAGTCGTGCAGTCTCATTTTTTACCTTCTTCTCAACAGATGCAGCGTATTCTTTCCCAAATTCATCCAGCTTTCGGTAATAATATGAGTGTCCGGTGGTTACTCTGAGGGAACCCAGTCGGCAAAGAGAAGCCTGAAATAAATAATTAGTATATGATAAGACATTTTATCATAAAAGGGCAGTTGTAATGTTATTATTCAATGCATTAACATTTGCTACCTTCATTTTCTCACGAACTTGGGAATTATAATTGTCTGTACAGCAGGGTAGGACATGTCAAAAAACAGATAAATCTTATTCTTATGATGTACATGTATATATTTTGAGGGAAAATGGCATTTATTCACAAATTATTTACACAGGGAACATCTCATTCATAATACACTTACTTTCATAAAAATCCTCACTTTCATAAAAATTCATAAAATTATGTTTTCTTTAATTTATTGAAAGGCAACAACCACATTTGAAGTTGACAGTCGTAAATTCGAAGTTATTAATGTACATACAAACTTAAACGAAAGAGTTGTAATTTTGCTAGAAATAAGAGGTAACAAAGTCTGAGAGTGAGATCAACAAAAGACAGTAGTAATTAACATTATCTTAAATTGGTTTTAAATCCAGCATAATAATTTCAACAACAAATTTTGGAGCTAATGACACACGCACAAATAGCCGGTGCAAAGACCAAGGATGCAACATTTAACATTATGCAGACGTCAGAAGGTAGGGAATTTAAGTGACTTTCCCCGTCCGATCCATTAATGATCAAGTGAAAAATATTCAATTGAATACTAGGAAGAGAGCTTTGCAGTTTGGGTATCAGCTCATACCAAATTCTTCATGGCTTAGCACTACCAAAAAAACATTATCGTTGTCATCAGTACGTTATAATAGGTTTGGACAAATAGAATGCCAGGAAAACATCTTGTAGAAACTGATTAAAAAAATTACTCACAGTTATCCCCGAGTGATACAAAATGATGGTGTTTATCAGTTGCATTGCATTCATACACGGAGATCTGTTCTTCAGCAAGACAGCCGCGGACATAGACACAGATGGCAGCCAGAATTCATCGTCTCTTTTGCTTTTTCTCACACTTGCAGTCCACAGTACCGCACTAAACAATGGTGCTTTCGATTCAAGTTCGCTGTTGAATTTCTTGAACGAAAAGCGCTGGAGGTCTTTCTTGCTGGGCGATCTCAGACAGCTTGGATTCTTTAATGAACACATCGCAGTACACTCACGATCGACCTCCTCCAGGTACAACTGCTGCATATATTTCCTTAAAATTGGATTCTTCCATACGGCTCCAGCAATTTGCTTGTATGTTCCGCGACAAAGCATCTTGCCGAGTGACTCTAATCCTTCGTGAAGAGTATTCACTTTTGTTCGGCTGGGCCATTCGACAGTGACTTGCACACGAGTCTTCTTTTCCTCGGGTTCACGAGCAGGAATTGGCGAAACAGGTCCAACTAACGCAGCAAAGGCGACAGGACGATTTTTCTCCTTACAAGGTGTTGACGTGAGAATACTTGGCCAAGGATCTACCGATGTTTTATTTGGCAACGTGCTGTTATCTTCTTCGATATCCACAGACGTCACGGACGCTCTAAAATCCTCTAAGGCAACACGCTTTGTAGCTTGCTCTTGGGAGTCGCTGATCTGGTTTGAGGAAGGCTTTGGGACTGGTAATGGAACAGCGGAACACTTCTTCGACTGGACAATTTTCTGAATTGAGCTATCCACTTCGTGAAGATTGTTGAAGAGCGCCCTTCGTTTCTTCAGCGCGCAAAGACAATTCCTACAAATGTACGTGGAATTGATTTCGACTTTACACTTCAAAGACAGCAGTTCCTCTCGAACTTTAAAAGAATTGCCCCTTCGACCATCAACAAGATTTTTATCCGTGTTTTTTACGATCTCTACGCCACAAAGAACGCACGAACTCATCATCAAAATCTCACATCATATTATTGTCGCGAACGAAAGTGAAAGATTCTGTACGGAAGGCTCCGATTGCAAAGCGCGCGAAAATGAAAGCCAATCAAATCTCACTATTTCAGTGATGTAATGATGTATGGGAACTAACCAATCAAATCATTTTCCACACATTCCTGAAAAAGTCACGTGGTCTTTGAACACGATTATCAACGGTAAATCACAGACGCTCCTTTCCGATTTTTTTGAGGTGAGGGGCGGCTGTACACAGGCTATCGCTCCCCGTCAAAAATAGAACATTAAGATCGCAGTGAACTCAGAAGGACGGCGCCTTTAATGAGAAGAATACCGAAGAGGAAAATATGGCTTCACATAAAGAATCAAGAGAATAAATATTTGCTATGCAGAAAACATGTATCGGATGAAGAGTTTCTCGTTTTGTGGGAAAATTAGGAGTCGAAAAATCCCGATTTTCCTCGGGACAGTTACGATCCGTTCACGCTAAAAAACATGCGGGATGCAGCTGAGTTCAAGGCAGAATTTCGTGTTGAAAAAAAATGATCTCCACCGGCTTGCCGAAGCCTTGCAAATTACAGGAACATTAAAATGCTACCAAGGAACCGTATTCTTAGTTTGGCATTGAAATAATTCCCGGGAAATACTTGCATGCAACAACAACAACAACGGTAACAACTTTATTTCAGTATTCCCACGCCGAGTTAGTACATCGTATTACCTACTATTCTATATAATTTTCAATGCGTTTCATTTATACGATATTCTAACGAAAAGAGCGAACTAAAAACACACAATTGAAATATCGGAGTTCATATTTTTTGTCTGGATACTTTTATTTGGCTCGTGGGAAAATTTTGTCCCATGTCAAGCTCACTTACGGTTGGCTGTTTGCCAAGTTGGATCTTGACCCTGTGACATGAAAACATAGAAACATTCAAAGATGTAAGTTTAGCGAACATAGCTTGGAAATCGAGCTTGAAATGTGCCTCAAAGAAAACAAGGACAATTTAAGAACGATAATCTGCAAAATGTTCGTTGCTAAACGCAACAAACCTGATTGAAATGACAGTTAAATACTCACGTTTTCCCCACAACGCCAAACAGACCAGTTTGACGTCGCCGACGGGACCACGACGGCAAGGTGGTGAGCAAGAGCATGCGCAATATCCAACAAATGATGATGTCACGTCCGGTTGAAGTTGCCGTCGCCCCGAAAACGTCTCTATCTTAAGTTCCTGTTAGTTCGTTAGCGACGGGAACGCTTGACCTGGTTTGACTGTAAGTAAAATCGATATTACTATGACAACAATAAACAAAAAACTTCGAAATTGATAAAAGCCGAATTTTGCGTGATCTAGACCTGCTACTGAAAATCCAACACTAGGAACTTAAAGTTTAGTGTTTAGGAAACAATCTCCGTAAGAAGTAAAAAATTCTGTGTGTTTGAAAATAATGCACACTATACATACCTCCATGACTAGTGCATTTTAGTTTGAATTTATCGCATTTATCACATAAGACGAGTGTAAGGGAAAAGTCCAGAGGTGTGTATCTGCCAATAGGCTGTGTTTTTCCGAGTTATTCGATGATATTTGGCTTGTGTCAAACGTCAGAAGATTATGCATGGTTGTGGATAGACTTGCCAGTGCCGCGAAAGTGTGTGATTGTGTGATTTCCGCATGCACATTATTGTCAGCTTACAAACTTACCTTGGTGTTGACAGGTATGTGGTCGCGTCTGGTTAAGCTGTTTCGCTAAAATATTCTATCCTAGCCATAAAAAGGTTTCTCCGGTGTTTAGGTTAGCTGATTGTACCTTGGAAAAGCGACTCTCGACTCAAGAAAATTGGCTCTAGGTCTAGTTTCAGCGGGCTCTAATGGCTTTGAACTAAAAGGCCGGTTTTTGCCGATACGAAGATGATAATTTTGTGGTATGTTTCATTCAGTTTGTTGTCTATTCCATGCGAAACCCTGTCGTTTATCGGATCGGGAAAAAAGTAGTGTTTTGCTAACTATTTAAGTTGTTATGTCAGCCTTAAACAGGTACCCTTTCGCTGCCGTTCACTCAACTTTAAAATTTCTAGACTGAAGTGACACCAGTGTGAAACTTCACGGAGTCAGATTACTGAATAAATCAGGGGCACCCATCGAGCATATTGTTCAAAACCCCATATACATAGCATTGTTGAACGTATTCAGTTTGGTATTTAAACGGTAGATATAGGCATATTTTTATCCCCTAAAAGTTTTTCATCTGTTCGGATTTCCTAGCTGAAAGTCTAGTGATCTGAAAATTATAGGGATCAAAACTTACCTTTTCGAAAATTTCAGCCAGAAAAACGGCTACCGAAAATTCTAGGAGAGGCAGGCAAGCAAGAATTTTTACAACAAATGTTCCGAAAATTCTAGATCTCAAATCGTCTTCAGAACAGATAGTTTCCAAAAATTGACGATGGGTGCCCATGATAAATGTTCTAAAATTTGCGTCATTTTAAATTTGGACTCGTTGAAATGCTTCTAGTAACTACTAACTTACTGCTCGAAGTTAGATAAAGGCTTTTAATCGGCCTTAGAATGAAGTTATATTTTTTTAAATTGCCAAGTAGTAGAATGAGATGATTTTTTTGCTAACCCCGTTTTCAAAAATCCACGTATAGATACATCATTTAAAATACATCACAGCATGACCATGCTCAATAATGGATGCTATCGTATTTGCATCGCTTTAACGTTTTCGTGTGAACGGGCGAAAACGATTCGAATACGCTACGCGTGGATGCGTATTTTTTTGAAAACGAAGGGAAAAAAATTCTGTTTTAAAAAATATCGGGATACATGTGGACGGGGGCCTTAATGGACTAAAAGGCGATGGACTGTCACGACGAATTAGGAAAGTTAATGGTGATCAATGACAGCGCATAGTAATTTGATAGTTACCACTATTTTCACTGCTACGCTGCGGTCTTCGAAATCAACACCTTTTGGAAATAGATTTCCGTCAAATAATTATTATCAAAAGGATCAAAAGCGCTGCATGGTGACTTTGAATAATTCATGTTAGCGGGCCGGATTCGAGTTAGTGAGGTTGGTTTTGATACTCAAAAAAACTCATAGATGTGCATGTACAGTGTAATCGTATCATTGTTTTGTAAACATTCCTCACCATCGTTCATATTACCTTCCTGAAATTTATCTTATTTGCTCACTACACGCGGAAGGCACAAATACTAAGTCTTTTCTCGCAACTACTACATGTACCACCCGTAATAGTGGTAGCACTCGAATCAATACTTTCACGACAACCCTCTTGCTAACAGAGTTCTGCTAAAGTTGTTTGTTTAGAACTTAGATTTACAATTTTTTTGAACCTTCTAAGTATGAGACAATGGCTTCTACCTGTCTGAATTACGTCAGAGAGCTATGGTCTGGAACTTTGAGGTTAACCGAGGAACTTTAATTTTTGAAACGGAGTTCAAGTCAGATGAAAGTTGGAGTTAAACACGTTTGAGTTAACTGCCCGGCCTTCTTCCACTTCTTGCAGCTGCAATATACCTACTATTACTTTGTTATTTTTAGGTAAAATACATACGTAATGACTTATTCACCTTAAGAAAAATACAAACAAAATCGCCTACCTTGTTTGCCCCCTTTATCAGTTTTCTGCACTATGGCAAGCACAAACGTATTTTTCTACCAGCGCTTAAGTAAACGTGCTTTTAACGTGGCATATTGGAAATATATCAAGCCAATTTGCCAAGCAGGTGAAAGCTATAACTCTGATTCGTATAGTTGCAAATTAAATTCATTTGTTTAATATTCAGTTCTGTTTTGCAAACACTGGGAATTTATTTCATGACATTTAATTAACAAGCAATTTGCTCCAAATATCTAGAAAATATAACACTTTCCTGTTTTGTTTAAATGCGAATGAAATGATTACTGACTTTATATTGGAAACCTCAGTCTCACAGGTCCTTCTTTGGTAAAATACAGCTATTTCGAGAAACGTTGTCGGAAAAAAGTGTGCACGCGACAACCCCGAAAGGTAATAAGGGATATGATCAATACTCTGTTCCTGACACTGTAGGCTGAGCTTTCGTCCATGGCTTCTCGCGCCATTCTTTCGAATGTCTTTAAAGAACATAGAACTCAAAACCACCCTCAAAACCTTTCGGGATTGTCGCGTGCTTTTTTTCCAACAACCTTTCTCGAAATAGCTGTATACACAAAGTGCATGCAGAACATGAGAAAAGATGAAAAAATGAGCAATTAAAACATGTTTATAACGGTAAAGTAAAAACTAGGACTTTACCCTATTCAGACCGCTCGCTAAAACGTTGAATAACTTCAAAACCGTCCAAGCTAGGCCCACCAAACTTAGCGACTTCAATTCCTAAAATTTATCTAAAAATATTTTAAAGTCGTCGTGACGAGTACGTCAACCTTGATGTTACCTTGGTAACTGAGTTTTGACAGCCATGTTTTTCAAAATTTGCATTTTCTCTAAAAAAAACAGGTTTTATTTCTATTTTTACCGATTGAATTATTATTTAGCATTATTTTATCTGAGAGTTAATTGTAACTGTTCAGGAAATACAGGTTTTTTAGTGATAAGTTTAAGAAAAGCACGAGTTTAATATGACTTAATGGCAGATGCCGAGTTAAATTTTCAACAGTCTTTCTCTCTGAATTTCATATTTTGCTGCCTTTTTGCTCTTTAAGCCAGTCCTTTTATACTCAGATTAAGTTTTCCGTTAAAACACCTCGATTTACAGTGTGTACGAGTTTTCAGCAAAATGGAATACATTTAAATAGTTCAAGATGGCAGATTCTTCTAGTTCCTTTTTTAGTAATAAATGACGTCATCATGACATCACTGCTATTGTTTAAGATCATTTATGTGTTAACCAACTTTCGTTGACTTCATCAGAGACCTTACTATTTTAGTATTTTTCGTTTTATGTCTACTTTGAGGGAATTTGAATTCTGCCAATAAAT